AATTTAATCCAAACAAACGTTGGTATTAAAATAAATATATAATAATAAATTCGTTACAGGACTTACGTGAACTTGTTTGTCTGACTGCATAATTTCTTTTTTTCAAATAGACCAGGATTTATCGATCTAACATATAGTGTCTGCAAGAAAGAGTATCTTAAAAGCTGTGCATGAAAATGATAGAATAAGGAAAATTCAAGTGAAGGGCATGAAAACTACTCCAAATGATTTGGAGGTCGCGGTTAATGTAAATAAATGTGCTTCTTCACGTCATTTCAACGTAAAGGGTCAATTCTCACTAAACTCTCAAGCAGCAAATTCTCAATATTTGACGCTCATTTCATTTTTATGAGTAATTATTGTGACGGATTTATTATTATATATTTATTTTAATATCGATGTTTAAATTAAATTTATATTTAGAAATGTACATATACTGTTAAATATGTATTGCGAAACTCCCGCCTATTCTCTAAAGTTGTAGAAGATTCTCGAGTGTAAGAATCAACAATGTATGTGTGTGTACGTAAATGCTAGTGTTAGCGTCAGTATTGTTACCTAAAACTGAAATTTCGAAAAATTCTCCACACGCCTATAAATATAACCAACGCGACGCGCCAAAAAACAGTATATATTATTGGTTTGCTATAGTTGTTATAGTATAAACTTTGAAAGCTATAACTGTGATTGCTATAAAGCTTATTAATCGAGAAACTTAAGATATTTCACCAGAAACGTATATAAATTTCGAAGATATCAGCTTTTTATACATATGTTTATAGAGTTTTAAAAATATGTTCAAGAGAGGAATATTTAAATAAAGAATTGTTATTAACTAAGTATATAGTTATATGATATATGATAGAGAATTTGAACCAAATATAGTAGACAAAGCATTTAAGAAATTTAACAAAAATGCAAATTCAGTTTAAAATACCACATTAAAATCAGTTTATGAAAAAACAAAAAAGAAACTCAAAGTTTACCTTACGTTCCAGGTTTAACAAGTCAATTATATAAAGTATTTAAAACATATCAGAATTTTTACCCTATCTTCAAACCAATAAATAAGATAAAAGATATTACAGGAAATGCTAAAGACAAAATAGAATTAACAGATAAAACGGGTATATACAAGATAAAATGTGAATGTGGTAGTGTTTATATTGGTCAAACTAAAAGAAATTTAAAATATAGATTGCAAAAACATAAAAGTTACATAAGTAATAATAAAATAAAAATTTCAGCTATAGCCGAACATGTAAAAACTATCCAACATACAATATTATTGGGAAAAACTTTAGTTTTAACTCAGCCTCAAAGTTTTATATCATTAAATATCAGAAAAACATTAGAAATAATACCATATAAAAAACGAAAACAAGTATTAAATAGAGACGAAGGACCAGCAAGTCAATACGTTGATATATGACGAGATATATTATAATTAGTTTTTTATTATTACACCAAGAAAATATGCAAATAACAATGAAGTAATGCGACAACGGAAAAGTATAAAATAGTCTTGTAAGTTACTT